TCCCTTGATAATTCCCTTTCTTCCAAAGACCATAGGAGGGAGTTTTAGTCATGCAACCACCCCATGGCACACACTACTCTGGCTTCAATAAAGCTTACTCTCACACCTTCCACTGTGGACAACTAGACATGACAACTGAAAGTGCCCCAGAAAACCCATTTGAACAGAGCTTGAGACACCGGGAGATACAGCAGGAAAAACACCTGCAAGGAACAGACGGAGCTAAAAATAAAACAAGATAAATAAATAAATGATCAGCTCTTTAAAAATCTGGGATGCATTAGGAGCTAGGAATTCTAAGAGCTGTTTTGCATCCTGCTGTGGCTGCTGAAGGGTTGGTGGAGAGGGGACATAGGAAGCTGACTATATACAGACTCCGACTGCTGATCCATCCAGCTCAGAACTGTGGCTGTCAGGTGCTCTCTACAGTTTCAGGCAGGAGCTTTCCCCAGCCCTGCTTGGAGACACCCAAGACTGGACCTGGGACTGTCTGCACTGCAGTCCTTTCCCATTGCTGCAGTACAGTGGGGTAGTTGCCTGATATCTCAGCTATGCCAGCTTGCATTTAAAAAATAATAATAATTCTTGATTCTTACCCATTCCCATTATGGCTGGTGTTTGGTGGAATTGCATCAAATTATTTGTTGTGTTTTAATATTTATTGTTTTATGTGTAAACAATCCTGGGGTGGTACAACGAAAGGCAGGAGATAAATAGATTAGATAGATAGATAGATGATAGATAGATAGATGATAGATGATGATAGATAGATAGAAGATAGATAGATGATAGATAGATGATAGATAGATAGATAGATAGATAGATAGATAGATAGATAGATGATAGATAGATAGATAGATAGATGATAGATAGATAGATAGATAGATGATAGATAGGTAGATAGATAGGTAGATAGATATAGTTGATAGATAGATATAGATGATAGATAGATAGCTATAGATGATAGATGATAGATGAAATGAACATGCTGCTGCACAGTAAAACAGCATAGCAATACCTATAGAAAGAGCGATGGGGAGCAGTTCTGGATTTCAATGAGATGCACACATTAAATCAGGAATGGGGAACCTTTTATAGGCTAAGTGATATATCCCCATGTGGGCATAGCTAGAGGCAAAAGTGGGTGGGCTCTTGCCTTTGATTAGTAGGCAACATTCAAGCCACACGCATTTCAGAGGTTTCTACACAGAAATCTCTATCCAGGCAAGTAAGAGGCATGGTCAAAGTTCAAGGGCACAGTGCAGCCATGCAAAAGGACTCAATGAGTGGTTTGCATCAGGGTCACTGAGGGATGTGGCATGGGAAGAGGGCTGAGGACTGGACCTGAGGTTCCCACCCCCCCTTTAAATGCTCTGCAAAATAATAAAAGAAACAGGGACCTCTAGCAGAAGCTACACTAAGAGGACCTCATTGCTGAGAAGAAGTAGACAATGCACTATACCATCACACAAGAGGCCAATCTGTTTTATTAGTGCTGGATTTGAATGACTCAATTAACAATCACTCCACCAATGTGAGTTCTGCAAGTATCACTTTTTGGCTCTGCAAAATCCTTTTGTACCTGATATTTTTAGAGGTCCCAATTCAGGAGTCAAGGTGGGACCACACATTAAATTGTTCATGTGATAATGGCAGTATTTACAATCACCACAGATCAATAACCATCATGGATCACTGCTTCTTATTGTGTTAGGTACGGTAATTATGCAGCAGCAGAAGCCAGCCTGGGCATAGTGTGTTCACTGGCACTCATACTGAATGGGCACACTCACCTGACTCAGGGGAAGGCACCTTTTGGCTTAAATCCTGCTACATAAGTTCTGAATCCATACTAGACTCCAGTGATAGGTCGTTATGACTTAAGCAAGCTGCTCAGCTCCCAGTCTCTTGCTCCAACTTGCTATCAAACCACCAGTCCCCATGCCCTTACAGTCTCCCATTCCCACCCATCAATCCATTCTTCCCCCTGTTCTTTGAAAACCTGTTTCCTTTACAACATATAAAATTTGCAGGAATGCAATTGACTTCAGTTGTACCATTCACTCCAATAATTGAATCTAAGTTTCCTTGGTGTAAAACTTTGTAGCTATAAAATTCATGCTTCCTGTTTATAAATGAGCATTAAAGAGACTTTCTGGGGCAGCTGTGAATGGACTGATGGGCATCATACAAAAGAATTGTGGGACAAAGACAAGGGCATCTCTTGCACCAGGTCAGAAATTCAGAAATGTAGTTTTGTGCAGCTGCCATGTGTCATTATTATTTGAATTATTGTTTTAAAGCATTTATATACTGCTCTCCATCCTATCTAGATTTCAGGGTGATGTACAATGAAAATTTACCCTCAATGAGCAAGCTAACTTTTCTTCAGCTTGTCCGTGAAGTCCATAGCCCAGTCCCACTTAGTGTTGGCTGCAAAAATCAATGCAGGGCAGCAGGGGAATAGTTATCTGTATCCGTCCAACCACTTTTGAAATAAAATGCAGGGATTCTGCTTGTTAGCTGATGGTTCTCAGTGCTGTGTCCTAATTGCTTGACAAATCTGCCTCCCGGGGAAGAACTATGTAGGTCCGTTTAACTCTCATCCCTGGGAAATTAGTAGCTGAAATGTCACTGGCACCAAGGATAAGAACATTAGTCCTAGCAAATATCACCATTTCCTAGACAACAAAGTAAGCCAAGTATCTCATCTGCTCTGATGCCAGTAGGGGACTTTGTACGTGAGAGTAATAGGAGAGATAGATTTCCATTCTAATTTCACTGTAGTCACTGAGGAAGAAGGATCTCGGTTATCAGGTGCATATACTAGTCACAGCATCACAGAACAGGAAGATATTGGTGGACCCAAAGGCCACCTGATCAGTGCTCATCTTGGGGCCACCCCTATCTACTAGACATCCACTGAAAGATCTTGGTAATCCAGACCAATCTTTATGCCATAAACAATGAGCAGGTGTGTGTCACATTTAGGCTTCCCCATACTCCTAGAAAGCAGTATCTACTTCCAGCATGTGATTGATTATTTTGTTTTAATTTCAACTTCTTTTGCTGGCAAGGAGTAATCCACATTTTATGCCTTTTGGCTGCTTCTCAGAGGCATGTTCCAGGATTACTTAGTTGCTAAGAGCCCATGCACAGGGCTCGTTCCAAAACACAAGGCAAGCAAGTTTATGGAGCTATGTGCTTACATTGTGTCCACTGCAAGCTTCACCAGCCCTAAAATGTCAGCCTAAAAAAGGATTACAAAGCAAATTGTTGCTTTCATTCTCCTAGCAATGCCCTCTTCTCAAAAGTTTCTCACCGGTGCAGCACAAATTGTTCTCTCATTGGCTGGGTTTCAGTAGTTGTTGCAGATGATCCTGCACTTACATTTTGGAAGGTTCCATTTTTCAAATGCACAAGATTTCATGTTTTGTTTTTCCTTTTTTGTCAAGTCATTCTCAAACCCCTCAGGCAGGCTCAGAGAGCATCCCCAATGGAAGGCACTGATAAAATACACACCTGCCTGTGTGTGGATATTTCTTTCCTCAATGTGCCAAGCAAGCAATTGTCCAGATTTTTCAAAGCAAATCTATGAAAACACATATCAAAGCAGCAGAGAGAAAACTAGTACTGCAGCTGATTTAGTAATGGTTCAGTAACATTCCTGATAGAGCTTCAATATTCAGGGTCAATTAACAATCAATCCCTCTTCCTAGGAACAGTCGAAACTATAATAATAATAATAATAATAATTTATTTATACCCCGCCCATCTGGCTGGGCTTCCCCAGCCACTCTGGGCGGCTTCCAAAAAAAATATTAAAATACTGTAATGCATCAAACATTAAAAGCTTCCCTAAACAGGGCTGCCTTCAGATGTCTTCTAAAAGTCTGGTAGTTGTTGTTCTCTTTGACATCTGGTGGGAGGGCATTCCACAGGGAAGGCGCCACTACCGAGAAGGCCCTCTGCCTGGTTCCCTGTAACTTGGCTTCTCGCAGTGAGGGAACCGCCAGAAGGCCCTCGGTGCTGGACCTCAGTGTCCGGGTAGAACGATGGGGGTGGAGACACTCCTTCAGATATACTGGACCGAGGCCGTTTAGGGCTTTAAAGGTCAGCACCAACACTTTGAATTGTGCTCGGAAATGTACTATATCCCTCTGAGGGGGAAAGGGTCTCATTACAACTTTCAGCACCCTTAACAAGACACTTCCCAGGATTCTTTGGGGGAAGTCAAGATTGTTTAAAGTGGTATGATACTGCTTTAAATGTACTGTGCAGATAGAGCCCAAGATCCATCAAAGACAGTGGAACACACTTCCCAGTAAGCAAACATATGATTGTGCTATGAGACGGCAAGGAAAGAGTGAACAAGTGATGCTGTAGGCAACACTGACCCCTCCTCAAAATGACCTTCGAGGACATCTGTATTGACTTTGAATCAGTCCACAGAACAAGACAGAGGAAGATGCAGCAAAAGCAGAGCAGGAAGGAGCAGATTACATCAACTGGGAAAGCAGTGAGAGCAGAAATAAGACAAATGAAAATGAGATTTTACTTTGTTTCCATTAATTGTTATTTAATTTGTGTATTTAAGGGGGGAAAGCCACCCCTTATTGATTGACTTGTATTATATGTGCTGCTACTGGCATCATGATGCTCTCATACTTTTTCTTAAAATTATTTCTTACATGAAAAGCAAAAAATAGTCAAGGGAGGGTGAATGCTCCATTTTATCTGTGGTACTCTCTGCAAAATTACTGCATGCCTGAGTCTAGGCTTTTACATTGTTCCTTTTATGGTGTGAGTTAGCAATTTCCTTAGAGGACCAGGTGGAAAACAGGCTGGTAGTTGACATGCTTTGTAAAATTAGGTGCTTGTTCTGCTGCTGATCTTCTTTAAGCCATATACAGCTGGTTCATATATAGAAGCATGCAGGCTCATGGTGGGAAGCAAGCAGAAGTGTAGTGCTTAGACTAGAGTGTTGGACCTAGGAGACCTAGAGTTGGCAGGAATTGAACCTGGGACCTTCTGTACCTTCAGATGCTCTTCCTTTGAGCTACAGTCCTTCACGTAAGACCAGGCATAGGCAACTTGGCCCTCCAGATGTTTTGGGACTACAACTCCCATCATCCCTAGCTAACAGGACCAGTGGGCAGGGATGGTGGGAGTTGTAGTCCCAAAACATCTGGCGAACAGAGTTTGCCTATGCCTGTGTAAGACTGTAAGTTGCAGTCAAAAATATCTGAAGGGCACCAGGTTAGAGAAGGCCGCTTAGAGGTGGTGCTAAAGGGTTAAGAACCACACATTACTCAAACATTTCCTTTTGCTGGAGAGGCCTTGAAATACCTTTTGTTGTTATAGCCTATGCTCAGCTCAACACACCTGCCAGGAAGCATTTATCAGTCTTGGAATTTAACCGACGCCTTGCAAAGCACGGAACTGGAGGCTGCATATATTCCTTGCCTCCATTCACGCATTGACTGATTGAAAGAGCATGCAGCTACCAAGAAATATTTCATTGCTTGTTCATCAAAAAAATATTCAACTACTCAAAGTCATAGGCTCAAAGCTTGAAGAAAGGGAAAGCAGAGCAATTGGAGAAGATGAGCCACTGGGCCCAGAGATGTGGGGTTGGATGGTAAGGGGAAAGATAATTTTGCTTTGGAGAAGCTCGGGGCTCTAGAATTAGGTCATCCTGCTCCTTCAGGTGGGGAGTCTTCCCACATGGCAAACCCACACATAAAGGCATCTGATCAGTGCTGATCATATCAAGAGTGGGTTCAAGGAGACAGGTCTTGTTTGTCCCAAGGATGGGTGAATCAAAAGGAATGGCAAATGAAGGCTGACGCCTCCTCTGCAGCAAGGCATGCCTTCCCCTGTGTGCCACTCGCTGAATGATTGATGTGGGAGACTCCTCCGAGAGAAAGTTTCTAACCAAGAGAGGGAACAGGCACAGACGTTTAAGGCCTCCAGAGATGTGGAATTAATTTCAAAGTAAGGCGGAGGAAGAGCCTGCGAAGCCCCCTCTTCCTGGACGAGGAATATGATTTGTAAATTAATTTTAAAAGCTCCTCCTGGACTGAAACGAGTTGTAGAAGATGACGGCCCCCGAGGTGCTAGGATGAGCTACCTGATCTGCCACTGAAAGAGAATATCTTAGCTTGTCAGTGCTTCCAAGCCCTCTTTTATTTTGGTAAATCAGAGCCTTGTAAAATGAAATGAAAAGAGCTCGGCTGTTAAGTCCCCAACATTGCCTGACTTTGGAAGGAGAGAAGGAAGCATCTGCATCACACTGTGATGCTCCGAGTGCCAAGCGCCCTCCTGCTGAATGAGGTATGTGCCCTTCCTGCCTTCCTGGCAACAGGCGGCAGGGCACAGCAAGGTGATCGTGCTTTAAAAATCACCCTTGCGCTTATTGTCGCCCATGAGGATGTCATGTTGCAAACACCGAGGCAGGCAAGGGAATGCTAGCAATGCTGAACGCCTGCCCTACTTTGTAAGGTTCATATAAGGTGGTTGTCTCTGTGGCAGATTGAAATGCAAAGATACATTGAAAGCGACACTCCTTGCAGGTTTCTTCATATGCACTGCTTCCCTTGCCAAGCAGGAATCTGGATCTGCATTTCTCAAACACTGCTGCCCCCAACAAGCCTTTGAAACTTGAGGATTTTGCCAGAACACATTGCAGCACAGATCATGTAAAATGCAAAGTGGTCCCCCCCCCCCCCCATACAATGCTTTCCTCATCGCTCCTTATTGACATATTCAATCATAGATTTTTTTCACCACCTGTTTTCGTTTCATGTTGTTTTATTTTTCTCTTATTTTTAAGCCTTTTTTCATTTTGCTCACCAGGGGCTATAACCAACCCGCTTGCTTTTGAAAATACTAATTAAGGCATTAAAAATGGAATGACAGCCACAGGTGAATTGGTCTCGGAAACATCAGGGGAAAGAAAAAGGAACAGATGTTTGGTTCCCTTTTGGAATGGGGGAAGTTAAGTTGTAGCACCGATCAGATGTGGCAGTGCTTCAGGATAGTCAATAAATGTTCAGATTTGCACATATGATGGTCTCTAGCAGGGCTGGGGAAAACTATGGTGTTGTCAGGAGCTCGTCCTACACTCGAGTAGGACCCTGGTAGAGACACATACCCGACTAGCATGTTCTCACTCTCCTGGTTGTTCGTTCGGGAGCTTCAAAAGCTTTCTTCAGCCCGAACATCACAGCGACCGATGCCAACAGACATCGGCACACTTAGGGATCCGCAGAGTCTTTGCAGCTTGCATAACAGACCTCAGCAACTCAGCATTTTGGCTAATCTACTTTATTTACATAATAATAATAATAATAATAATAATAATAATAATAAATTTATTATTTGTACCCCGCCCATCTGGCTGGGTTTCCCCAGCCACTCTGGGCGGCTTCCAACAAAGATGAAAAATGCACTAAAATGTCACATATTAAAAACTTCCTGAACAGGGCTGCCTTCAGATGTCTTCTGAATGTCAGGTAGTTGTTTATCGCTTTGACATCTGATGGGAGGGCGTTCCACAGGGCGGGCGCCACTACCGAGAAGGCCCTCTGCCTGGTTCCCTGTAACTTGGCCTCTCGCAGTGAGGGAACCGCCAGAAGACCCTCGGAGCTGGACCTCAGTGTCCGGGCAGAACGATGGGGAAGGAGACGCTCCTTCAGATATACTGGACCGAGGCCGTTTAGGGCTTTAAAGGTCAGCACCAACACTTTGAATTGTGCTCGGAAACGTACAGGGAGCCAATGTAGGTCTTTCAAGACCGGTGTTATATGGTCTCGGTGGCCGCTCCCAGTCACCAGTCTAGCTGCCACATTCTGGATTAGTTGTAGTTTCTGGGTCACCTTCAAAGGTAGCCCCACGTAGAGTGCATTGCAGTAGTCCAAGCAGGAGATAACCAGAGCATGCACCACTCCGGCGAGACAGTCTGCAGGCAGATAGGGTCTCAGCCTACGTACCAGTTGGAGCTGGTAAACAGCTGCCCTGGATACAGATTTGACCTGTGCCTCCATGGACAGCTGTGAGTCCAAAATGACTCCCAGGCTGCGCACCTGGTCCTTCAGGGGCACAGTTACCCCATTCAGGGCCAGGGAATCCTCCACACCTGCCCGCCTCCTGTCCCCCAAAAACAGTACTTCTGTCTTATCAGGATTCAACCTCAATCTGTTAGCCGCCATCCATCCTCCAACCGCCTCCAGACACTCACACAGGACCTTCACCGCCTTCACTGGTTCTGATTTAAAGAGAGGTAGAGCTGGGTATCATCCGCATACTGATGAACACCCAGCCCAAACCTCCTGATGATCTCTCCCAGTGGCTGCATGTAAATGTTGAAAAGCATGGGGGAGAGGACAGAACCCTGAGGCACCCCACAAGTGAGAGCCCAGGGGTCTGAACACTCACCCCCCCACCACCACTTTCTGAACACAGCCCAGGAGGAAGGAGCGGAACCACTGTATGACAGTGCCCCCAGCTCCCAGCCCCTCAAGACGGTCCAGAAGGATGTTATGGTCGATGGTATCAAACACCGCTGAGAGATCCAGCAGAACTAGGAAACAGCTCTCACCTTTGTCCCTAGCCCGCCGGAGATCATCAACCAGTGCGACCAAGGCAGTTTCAGTCCCATGATGAGGCCTGAATCCCGACTGGAAGGGATCCAAATGGTCCGCTTCTTCCAGGCGTGCCTGGAGTTGTTCAGCAACCACTTTCTCAATCACCTTGCCCAAGAATGGAAGATTTGAGACTGGGCGATAATTGGCCATCGTGGCTGCATCTAAAGATGGTTTTTTAAGAAGCGGTTTAATAACCGCCTCTTTCAGCGGGTCTGGGAAGGCTCCCTCACGGAGGGAAGCATTCACCACCCCACGAAGCCCATCGCCCAGTCCTTCCCGGCTAGCTTTTATAAGCCAGGATGGGCAAGGATCCAGGAGACAGGTGGTTGGCTTCACTCGTCCAAGCAGCCTGTCCACATCCTCGGAGGTAACAGATTGGAATTGATCCCACACAACTTGACTAAACAGGACTCTAGCACTCTCCCGCCCTGGCCCTGCTCCCACAGTGGCGTCTACCTCTTCCCGAATCTGAGCGATTTTATCTGCAAAAAACTTTGCGAAATCATTGCATTTACATATAAACACACAGAGAGCACTGCAACATGGTTCATCTCTCTCTAGCATCAGACAGCAAAGAGAAAAAGAACAAAGGACAATAGTCCCACTTCACGGAACACAATAACACAAACATCCTGTCTCCGTCACTTCCCACTCTGTGGAGTCAAAACATACACCGTCATGTGATAGACAAAAATCCCATGACTGCAATAACGGAGCAGGAATTCTAACAGGTCCTACATAGTTTGTTGGACTCCAGCTTCCCTCATTTCTAACTCTTGGCTATGCTGGAGGCAGCTGATGAACTACACTACACTACATTATGAGCAAAGGCAGTCCGCCTGGTATATGTAACAGCTGCTCAATTCTGCAGTTTGAATGGAGGGATGAGTCATCCAAAAAGATATTTCACAGCAGAATCAGGCTCAAATCATGCATTGCATGAAATTTTTCACGTGTGTTTTCTCTCTATTCCTTTTTTTAAAAAGTAAAAACAGCCCAAATCATATGTGACGGTGCCCAAGTTGTTATTTCCTAAGAGTAATATAACTGATGAATCAACTCTTTTTGGTAAATGGTAGGAGTGTGCATTCAATTTTAAAATTAATGAAAAAATGAATGAATTCCCATGTATTATAAATTTTTTACATTTTACATTTTTTAAAATGTAAAATGAATGTAAAGACGTAAATGATGTAAAGTGGGGGACCTAACTGTGGGTACATTAGTTTTCATTTTTGCTTTATCCAATCTGCAGGTAGGATGGCTGGAGAATTCCTGAAAAATTAATGTCATTTGATTAGAAAGCACCAAAGCTAATAGAAATATAAGCTACCTTATATGGAGTCAGACCACTTGTTTATTTAGCTCAATTCTACAGAGGGGTTCTACAGAGCCAACTCCTAGGGGCCATGGGGTCTTCA